TAACCTATCAGCTGGAATGACTAACCCAAGAAAACTGACCACACCACCTAACCTATCAGCTGGAATGACTAACCCAAGAAAACTGACCACACCACGTAACCTATCAGCTGGAATGACAAACCCAAGAAAACTGACCACACCACCTAACCTATCATGTAATGACTAACCCAAGAACACTAACCACACCACCTAACCTATCAGCTGGAATGACTAACACACCACGCAACTAGAATGACTTCTTATTATACACTACTCTTAGTTCACTCCAAAAAATACAAGAATGGGTTTTGAGATTGAAAACGTATCAAAATAGAAATAGCATTATAATAGCTTTGGGTTGACAGAGGGCGATAATAATCCTCGTTTGCATTGCGACTATAACTGTGACCACCTATCTTATTATTTTACCAATACCGTTGAATCCTTTCCCGCATTTAAAACACTTTTTACAAAAGTGTCCAACGTTAGCCAGCAAAATAAATCTGAATATTTCTGGTCACGCTGAGTGAAATTCTCGCTATCTGATTGGCCATTAAACTGGATAAAATAAGCTGGGTGGCCACGGTTGCCAGGCGCGTTGCACTTTATCAGTATAAATAATCGTATAAATAATAGTAATTTAATAGTATAAACAGAATAAATAAACTAAATAGATAATCACCCTCTTTTAGTGGAATATCAATTTATATCTATGCATACTATGCATACGACTTTCAAATCACATGTTAAATCTTACGGAGGGAAGAGAAGGCAAGAGAGAACTACAACACATGAAACAAATTCAACCTACATGATCTAGCCCAGGCCGGTGCTCGAACCTGGAACACAGTGGTCAGAAGCGAGAGGTACACGACTTACGATAGGTTGTTTGCCCATTTATAATTAGTTGAATCACATATATACCTGGTAAATAGTTTGTTCAAAAACCAGTACAGGTCCTGTAGCTCCAATGATTATTATTGGCTGTCCAGAGAAGAAACCAAAAAGTATACCGCATATACAAGTACCAAATATGACCTCTGATACCCCAAGCCATCGCTCAGTTTTCTCTGCCAGAAGACCTCCGAAGGCAATGTTTGGAGCGAATACCGAGAAGTACAAAAAAATGGTCACCCACAAGGAATGGAGGTTAAAGCCATCTTTAAAGTCGCTTACATAACATTCAGCACGCCTTTTAATATCTCTGATAAGCCCACCACATCGGTGACCGGTTCTTTTCAATGGGTCTTCTTCCTCCTCTGCGGCAGCAATAGCAATGGCTGTGAATACAGTACAAAGCCGGGTTAACTGACTGATATAATGTCTCATTAATAATGAAACCAGATTTTGGGTTTCACTTGTGCAGAATGTCCATCGGCTGAATCACAAGTTGTCACATAGAATTCCTTCTGGTTGACAGCACATGGTGGTCAGTGTTTGACCATCATTTGGAACAGATAATGAGATCCAAAGACTTTTATTAGGTGAGTGAAATCCAGGAATTGGAAATGTCGAGTTTATTATGGGAAGCGAACTAATAATGTAATCATTGGGGTTGATATCTCGAGAATAACAAACAACACTGTGTTAATGTGAGCATGGGGCACTAGAAGTTATACCAACTCAGGGTTATGCTTGTATGTCTGTTTTCACAAAAATAAGCTCAGCAATGACTTTTTTTATTTTGTTGCATGCCCTATGCCCTAAAAAAGCGCACAACAAAACTGTTATTATTGATCTTACCACTTATATTATCTATATCTTACCACTTATTTGTTTGGCTTCTTTTCTTCTTTTAGCCATGACCTTACTTTGCTTCATCAACAGAGGAACAAGTAGCTGACGATCCCACTCACCAGGAGGGAGAACTACTGTGTCATCTAGAAACTCATTTATAGCATGCAAGATATCCTCACGTGATTCAGAATAGTATGCTAGATCATGGAATACCTGCAAGTAAGCTGACAATTAATCAATAATACGTGAAGGGACAACTGATAGTCATTACAAATGTATACTGACCTGATCTGACATGAGTGTAGATATAGACCGGCCAATTTCATAGTAAGTGTCGCTGTTGTCAGGCGGCCCGAGCATAATGAAAATAAAACGTACAGGGATATCAACCTCTGTAAGATCACCAAGGTAACATCCTTTGGCAATGCGTACAAATGCCAAGACTGGACTTGTTAGTTTGTTTAACGAGCCAACCATAACAGCGGTTGCTTCAGCATCGGCTGGAATACGCGACTTTACGTTGGATTCATTCTTACGTGTCCCCTTTTCAACTGGTTTGGGAGGCTCAAATGTCACTTCACGTTTAGGGGTCGTAATGTCGTCCTCACTAGAAGGGTACAATGGAACCTACAAAGAAAGAAAAGAAGAGAGTTTGAAAAATCAATAAAATTGATGATATAGAGATGCGATACAGCACTAGACCTTTTCCAAATTCGTTTAATAAGTGGCCAAAAGGAAATGGCTCCAAATCGATGTTGGACTTGAAAAAAGCAAGTAAATGTATGAACACATCAAGACCTCGACTTAGAGTCATTTGGGAAAGGTCTATTAATTGATCTGGAAAAGTCAGCTATGAAGTTGAAAAGGTCACGTAGCTTTGACTGTGACCTTTGAGTTACCGTGTCCCTTTTGTTCTCATTGGTTCAGCGTTCAATTGACATATTTAGCTAAACAGATTTCTCAAAATAAAGATAAAAATTATTTGAACAATAAAAGTTTAGTTTGTGAGTGTAAAGAACGTTTTTTCTTTTAGTTTTTTTTTTACATACAATGCTTTTTTGACCGTCATTATCGGAACGTTCAGAAAAATCTTCATCGATTTTTAATCGAATGACACCATCCTCTTCTTCGTCGTCTTTTGCATGCAGTAGGAAAGTAGAGTCGTTTTCATCCTTTGATGGAGCATTCTGTGCAATTGACATGAGATTGTAGGAGGAGGGCCGCCTTGGTATATCGGGATCGTGCTGTTGATATTGATGTTTGTGTTTGCAAAGCAAGGCTTCTATTATCATCTCTTTATCAGATCGGGGAATCTGATCTGTGATAACCATGCTTTCTACCACTGTTTCGATAATACTTTGCAGCTCAAACTGCTCTAAGTCTAGCAAGACGGTTCCTGTAAATAAAGATTAATAACATGATTCAAATATTCACTAAAGTTTCAAATGTCCTAGTTTGTTCATGATGTGCCTACATGCAAGAATCTAAAATAAGCCGGAAAATAATGAGAAACACAAGTCATTCCAACTATTCTTGGATCTGGGAATGACCAATCACCCTTGGCTCCGATAACCTTTTTATTAAATGAGGTCCGGGGGGTGGGGGGTACTCCCCTATATTTGCTATACGGGTATGTGCCGCCCTATAGGGTATGGTTTTTCGGCTTYTGGGTCTGGGGTAGGGTATCATTTTTTGACATTTTGTCTGGGATACGGTATCATTTTAGTCTGGGATAGGGTTAACGATTTGGTCGTTTTTGTCTGGCGAATAGGCTACGCTTTCTGCCGACCAAAAACAATGACAAATGTTAGTAAATATTGATTGCAATCGATTGTAAAACCGTATTTTCCGTCTTTTAGTCTGGGATAGGGTGTACAATTCTTAGTTTTAGTCTGGGGTAGGGTATGTAAAATCAAAATTTTAGGTCTGGGATAGGGTCAGGGTTTCGAGGTCCTGGCGGCACACCCCTACCCAAGTTGGGGTGGTAGTACCCCCCGGGAATGAGGTATATATGAGAAGTCGTCAATACGCATTCCTCTTGCATATGGCAGCACTAACATAACCTCTGTTAGGTCTGCCAATAAATACTCTTTAGCTATTGTTATAGGTTAAAACGATTATGTAACACCTTTTTCAAGGCCTTTTCTTAGTTCAAGTAGACTGTGGAATGTCAGAGATGCCACGTGTGGTTTGCCCCATCGATTTGATGCTTCAACGTCTTCTTCAAATTTGATCCATCTGGCTGTCTCTTTCCAAATCATTCCATCTCCTTTGTCTGTTAATTCTTGTAATTCAATAAACGCCTAAAAAAAATCATTTATTAGCTTACTTGTAATAAGTTTTTGTCAAGTTGTCATGATATTATTTTATTCCTTTTACTTTAAGCAGGCGGTTGTCAATTCGGACTTTGTCCTGTTACCGCCTCCTGACACATGCTCGTCTTTTCTTTCCTTTTAGTGTGTGCTGTGTTGATTGTAATTTCTATTAGGCGTAATGTGTATATATATATTTTTCCTATTTAGTTTTTTGTTTATGAAGTCAATATACCACAAAAAATAAAATAATAATAATAATAATAATAAAAATAAAATAAATAAATAAAAGTGGGTTGTAAATATTTGGCATCAACAATGGCTTTATGCCAAATGTTACCCTCCGCAACTTATACACCAATGCTTAATGGGTTAATAAGTTAGCCCTTTTTAGGCTAAATGGATAGATTACTACGATTTTCTTTAAGCTTTTTAATACTAACCTCATGTGGGCTGTGATCATATTTCACTGGAAACTGCTTGTAACTCACAGTTAGAGTGTCCGTACTACTTTGTCTGGTCAACATACCAGATTTGAGCCTAGGTTTGCGAAGGTGGGGGYGGCGCCTTCTAAGTCCCCGAAGGTCTTCAAAACGATGCCCTATAAAATATTTTACAAAAAAATGTACAGAACATATTAAAAGAAAAAGGAGAACATTAGAATCAAAGTTTTAAAACCCTATACTAATAAATCAATCAATAAATYAATCAATAGATCAATCAATAAATCAATCAATAAATCAATCAATAAATAAATAAATTAGTAAATAGAGTGCTTACACTATATCCATGAAATAAAATCTAAATAGTTACTATCTAACAGTTTTTATTTAGTGACTCAACTGGAACAGCTTTAGTAACAATACACAAGGGAGACCAAATACTCAAGACAATAGAAAGATAATACTTTGTGTATTGTTACTAAAGCTGTTCCAGTTGAGTGATAGTCACTAATAGTCGCTAAATGGAAACTGTTAGGTAGTAACTATTTAGATTTTATTTCATGGACATAGTGTAAGCACTCTAAATAAATTAAATAAATAAATAGATAGATAGGTAGATATATATATATATATATATTTACAAGGATAGAAATAATGTTTAAGTGAAAACGTTTTATTTAAAAACTTTTAAAAGCATCATTTCTATCCTTGTAAATATATATTTTAACAAGAAGCAATATCATGACAACAATAATATATAATATTGTTTGGTTATAAAATAATTTGCAGCTAGCCATTGTCAATATGTTTAGGATTTCAGGGAAAGAGTTAGGAGTGTACAATGCTTGTATTAATAAATATGTATTAATATAAATACTGATTAAATTATTAACAGTGTTATAAGTATTAATTAAGTTATTACTACGGATCCCACCGAACTGTGACAGGTCATTAAACAATCCATGTCTCTACCACGCCCACTTTTGTGTACTGACACGCCCACATTTGTGTCGAAATTCTTAGAACTCATATAAGCTTCACGTTCGATAGCATGCTGGTCATGGATAGATACAAATTCAAAGTCAATCCACAGTGGAAAGATAATTTACAAAGTCTTGGCAGTACTGAATATTTTCAGGGGTAAACTTCTCTGCAGAAGGTCTGACCATTCTTTTCCAAGATCATTTTCCTCCTGACATGCAAGTTTTGGACCGTTGAATTCAATGCTTGTTGGCCAGTGCCTTTGAGAAGTACACAAAAGGTATTCAGATGCTTCAGTAATTCTCCAGTTGCCATTGAAGGTCAATGAATTGTGTATCTTGGGGTTGAAGGTGTTTTACTCCACTAGAACTTGGCTTAGGACGTTTGAAGTCTCCTATAGTACAAAATGTATTCCAAACTTTTTTGACCGTTCCCTGTTCAGTCTTAACTTTCTTGCTATATCATTGAAGCTTCCAGAAAAAAAACCTGTTACAATGTAATCGCCTCCGTTTTCTATATTTCATTGATTATTAAGGAACGGAATTCTTCTCGTAGAGCTTTTCCTATGCTGTAGGTACGTCCCAAGCTTTTCACCTCCATTTCCGAGTAGCCACTAAAATCAGCAGTGAGGCTTACGAATGGGGGCATGTCAGTACAGAAAAGTGGGTGTGGTAGAGACATGAATTTTTAAYGACCTGTCACAGTTTGGTGAGATCTGTAGTATTAACATCTAAAAATCTAAATCTTATGCACTTTGCAACCCAATTGATAAGGCAGCTGGTAGGTTGAATTATAATTTAGAAGTCGACTTCTGTGGAGGGAGGAAAGGTAGGAGAGCCCAAGGAAAAACCGACTCTACTCACATGACACCCAGGTCCAGCAGGAGTTGAACCCTGGTCACATGGGTGAGAGGTGGCACATTAGCAGCACATAACACCTGTCCTTCCCTCAACTTAATAAGTAATAATATAAATAAGACAGTCTTACATGCTATTTCCTGCAGGTCCTTCTTTTCTAAACTTCCAACTTCTTCTTCTTCTACTCCTGATAGATATGTTTTTGGAAAGTCATCAACTCTAGGTTCAGTTTCTTGAAGAGTTAGAAGTCCAGAACGTATGCGGACTTTTTCAGCCAATGCTTCTCTTTCACTTATGGTCCTATGTTGCTTGACCTCATGTTTACGATGGCGTCGATGATGATGGTGATGGCGTTTATGGCCTTTCTTCTCTAGATGTTGCATACTTACAACTTTTTCTCTGTGGTGAGACTCAAAATCAGGTTCCTCTTTAGATGGAAGTTGTGCTGCATCTTTATCAGTATCATCTGGCATTTTTATAGCATCAAATGACAACACAACATGTTCTTTGATTTTTGGCATTACGTCAATGAGTGATGGTTCTCTATCTTTTGCAGCAAATTTTCTTATTTGTTTGCCATCACCATTTTCTTCCCTCTTTAAGCTTTCTTGTTTTTGTATGTCATTGCTTTTGTTAGCTTTACTTGGTCCATCAACATAACTTTCAGATATTGAAGGAGTATCAATTTCTTTACAAACAATTGAGCAAGTCTTTTCATTTACATCTTCTTTCTCTTTCTCTGAATATTGTAAAGGACCTCCACCTGCTTCCTTAACATTATCCTCATTTGTTGAAGATAAAGCACTAAACTTCTCCGAGTCATCTTCAGTTGGAACTTTGCTACTATCCTTGTCAAAGTCTATTACTTCTTCAATTTTACTAGCTTTGTTTATCTCTACATTATTCTGTATCTCTTCAGCTAAAACCACAGTACCAAAACATCTTTGGGGTGGATTTTCCCCAGATATGGCTTTTTCTTCTTCATGATTTTTCACAGATTTTTGTGTTTTAGTGTCTCTGTTTTGATCTTTTTTGTGTTTCTTCTTGTGGTGTTTTTTTGAGCTTTTCTTGTCATAAGAAGATAGGTCACCATGATGAGTGGGAATGCGACGCAGTGGTTCATGATATTTTGTGGATGTTTTTCTCCTATCTAAAAGACAGCAAACATTAATCTTAACCATGTGCATTAAATTCTATAGAATAGTAATGTTTAGTGCAAATCTTATACCACAAAGAAAAGGCCTGGGGATAAATAAAAGTGGAAAACTAATATGATATTACAACATAATCCCTGCCAAATATTTAAAGTATTGATTCTACATGAAGTAATTGAATGGTCAACTATTTTTTGAAGCAAGTTGCATCCTTAAGTAACAATAGTTTATAAATCCAGTATTGCTTTCAAAGAAGCATCATTGTTTTGCTTGTGGGTTATGTGAAGATTATTGCAAATTCGCTTTCTGATAGGTGGATAGAACAAATACTGTGGATAATGCCATAAAATGAACTATAACTTTATAATTCATCAAATACATGGTACTCCATAGTAAAGCAYTGATCCATAATTCTAAGTGAGACAAACTGAATCCCAAAAATAAGTGTTAAAGTGTACAAATATGAGACTGTTTTGCTCTACTAGAATGAGGTACCATTTATTTGATAAAATATAAAGTTACAGGCATTTTTCATTTTATGGTAGTTATCTGTGGTATCCATGTTTTGTGAAAAGATGCATGATCCTTTGGATGGTTAGTTTTGTTCAATTACATTGCAATAATACTAGCCTGGTTAGCACTTTGGGTAATTGCTGGGAACAAATAAAAGTTAATTATTGACTGATATTGCAAGAAATAAACAAACCACTATTACCAAACAGGCACCAGACAATGACCCAAGGGTGTCTACTTAATTTAAAACTGCTGTGAAACAAGCCTCTATTACCAGACAGACACCAGACAATTACCCAAGGGTATCTACTTAATTTAAAACTGCTGTGAAACAAACCACTATTACCAGACAGACACCAGACAATGACCCAAGGGTGTCTACTTTAAAACTGCTGTGAAA